ATTCAGGAGTATGGTATGACATAATCAAGCTATCAAAATTCCAAAGGCAACGAGTATTCTGGGAATTGGGCAAATCACATTGCATACAGAAAAAACTCATGAACTTGTAGTAAGTTTACAAAGATGGTTACATCTTTACATCTGAAAGTTCAATATATTTGCAAGTAGTAAGAGTAGCATGAGCTGATGACAGGGGATCAGTAATCTATATATATATATCTGTTCAGCATTCATTCCCCTCAAAAAATCCCAAACTTTATTTTTTTTCTTGTTGTTTTTAAACAAAAATAGCAATTCAATCAACTTATTTACTGGAATAAACGAGTGAAAGAAACTATAAATATGTGCTTTTGAATAGTCCCAAATTTCAAGTTGGTCAGCTCTGCTTTTGGAGGTGGGAAAGCAGCTTTCCCTTTTCAACTAAGAAACCAAGTCTCAGTTTGATAATTGCTGTTAGACTCTTCCTTTGAAAGACAGCCATAAAAATTAATGCCACTTTGGTGGGTTTCTGTTTTTTCAAGGAAATTCTGCACTGTATTTATTTGAATGCTATGACACGAGAACAGAAAGCTGGCACACGAAGCCCAGCATGCTGACTCAGCGATGCAGCCATGGAATGGTAGAGGCGAACGGGCTCATTTATGTGTGCGGAGGAAGCTTGGGAAACAATGTTTCTGGAAGAGTCCTAAATTCCTGTGAAGTTTATGATCCAGCCACCGAAACGTAAGTATTGTATTAATTGTATTAATGTTATTTTTAGTCATTTGGGTCTTTGCTAGCTCTGTAAATGACTCAAGTATAGATGACTAAAGGAAAAACTGCATATGGTAAGGAATTTTCCTGAGTTAGCAGTGAGGAATCAGTTATTTGTAGCTTTACTGGAAAGGCAGTTTTTCTTAAGCAGCTTTTATCCCTGTTTCATTTTCTTAATGATAGGTTTCATTTACATATTTTATACTTATTTTCTATGAACTAGATGGTGACTCTTCCTCTTGTGTTTGGGTTTCTTTTTCCCCAGGTGGACTGAGCTGTGTCCAATGATTGAAGCCAGGAAGAACCATGGGCTGGTGTTTGTAAAGGACAAAATATTTGCTGTGGGTGGACAAAATGGTTTAGGTACTTGAATTCTATTAATTCTCTAGCTGGTCACACAGCAATGAATTCTGCTCTGGTCTATTTTGCAATGAATTCTGCTCTCTTCAACTGAAAAACTCTGAGCAACACCATCAAACATCCTGTTGTTGCCACTTTAGTTTTGCCTTCCTCTTTTCACCTCCCCACTTCACTATATCTTATTTTTTAAATTCTTGTACTAATAAGAGTACCGTCAAGTTCAGATATGTACCCCTACTGTAGCCCAGTTCTGAAGTAGTTAATATGGCTAAACCAGGCATCTAAGAAAAGGGAATTATTTTTTATTTTTTTTTAGTTATTTATGGTGTGTTTTGAGATATTTTAGCATTCTTTTGAGAGACAGGTAAAGGTATAGCCACTATTTTAGGAACTTCAGTCCAAAGACTTAAAGATAGTCAGATATTATAAACCTGGTGAAAATGTGAGACCTCTTTTGAGTGCCCAGCTTTGAAATAAGACTTACTGTCGTGGGCAGGTCATTTATGATCTGCCTGTTTCCTTGTCTTTAAAACTAGAAGAATAATAGTTTATTTACCAGAAAAATTGAATTTTAATTACCGAGGGTTTCTAAAGTGCTTTTCAAAATGGAAAATTCTCATTTATGAGGTTTTAAAGTCACTATTTATGGTAACTGGTATACTTGATATCAGATGAATGCTATTTTAGAATACAGCTTGATTTTTAATTGGCTACTGAAACTATTCCATCGTGATTGATTCCTAATGCAGAAACGGTAGATGCATTTATTGCCCAAACATTTTATCAATCTGTAACTGCCAGAGCTGCCATCTTGTGCAATGTTAGCTGAATGCTCCTTTTAGAAGTGTTAATGACTGTTCTTACTGGAATAGAATGAGGAAGAGTTATGTATGGGGTGAAAGACTCATACCTCTTAACATGATAGAAAAGTTTCTTAATCTCTCAGATCTAGTAATTCAGGACTGGAAGCGAAAACTGACTCAGAGTTGTTAAATAGGGATAACAGAATGTTTGTGGCTATTGTAAGGTGTAATTACTAACATATTTCTTGAAGAAGCGAATCTTAGTCATAAAATCTACTCTTCTCTAATAACTCTTGGTTTCTTTGGCCCTTATCAAAGGCTTTTACACTTCAGTGATTTTACTAGCATCATGAAGAGAGACATCCTCTATCAGTAAATGGCCAATTTTGGTAAAGGTACCTGTCAGTCCTCTAGAATAAAATGCCCTAGCTATAGGGAAGTTTCAGATAGATTCCTAAGTTTTAGTTACTAGCCACAAATCCATCACAAATTCAGCATTGCTAGTTCTTCTGTTCATGAAGTAATAACACGTTGGAATCTCTAGAAAGCGTCTAATGTGAATTTGTTACAACACATCTTACTTTCTTCTCTGTATTTATACAAGGGTAAACTGCTAGTTTAGAAACCTAGGGTGTTTTTTCAGGTTTGTTTTTTTTACTGTAGGGCTTTTAAAACCTTAAAAATAAAGACTTCAGTTTCATGGAATATTTGCATGCTCTAGTTCAGTCCATACAGTATAATGTAATAAGCAATTATCTATTTCATTGTTTTGTAGGTGGCCTTGATAATGTAGAATATTACGATATCAAGATGAATGAATGGAAGATGGTGTCTCCAATGCCATGGAAAGGTGTAACAGTGAAGTGTGCTGCAGTGGGATCTATAGTCTATGTCCTGGCTGGTTTTCAGGGTGTTGGTCGCTTAGGGCACATTCTTGAATATAACACTGAAACAGACAAGTGGATAGCCAACTCCAAAGTCCGTGCTTTCCCCGTGACGAGTTGTTTAATCTGTGTTGTAGACACTTGTGGGGCAAATGAAGAAACATTAGAGATCTGAAGACCTGTAGGAGATGCTGAGACATTCTTCAAGGACTTGGGGAAAGATGGCTGTTGGTGCTTTGCTTCCATATTTTACTGAATCTTGTTAAATTTAATAACAGGAAAAAATGAGATGCAGTCTTTCAATTTGTATATACAGCATATTGTGTAATGTGGATTTTGTCATGCCCATTTTCTTGTCTGTTTTAAGAGATGGGGATGTGTTTTGAGAATCCACTTACCTAGGTAACATCACATGGCATCTTCCTTTAAAAGGGCTGTGGGTGTGGCCTTCTCAAACATAGACCAAATTAAAAATACTTAGAACTCTTCTAAAGCATTTGGTGAAGAAAAGATTTCTGGTTAAATGACACTTTACCAAGGTCAGTTGCAGATACTTCATTTGGTAATGGTGAGTAGGTATAGCTTGGGTCATGAGAAAGATGGGCAAAATTTTTTTCTCATTCATACCTGCCTGCAGAAATCTTACCAGGATGCAATGAAGATATTTTCTCAGGAAAGACCAAGGACTGCTGTCTAATAAAGATTCCCAATATTTCTACAACTCTCTAGATCGTGATAGCTGCCCTCTTCCAATGAGTTTCTTCCATCATTTGCATGACTGCTTATCAATTTTTTAAAGTTAGAGAGGCCATATATAGAGATTAGAGAAACATTTTGATGGTCTCTGGCATTTTGGGGAGCTTTCACGGAAAGACTTTGATTCGGTTTTTTTTTTTATTACACTGAGGTAAGGGAAGTCAAAGGGTGAAGTCGACAAGAATTGTGCACTATAATTAACAAGTTGGAAACTTAGAGTGAATTTTCAGTCTCTCTTCCCAGGCATCAGACTGTACATACTGTGGATGCCAAACTTTTAGCAAAGATGGGAAGAGGAATGGGAAAAGCAAATACAATATACAGATATATTGATTTTCTTTTTGAAAGTGACTGTTTTTAAAATGGCATGAACAGAGTCATTAAAGATACTTTACAGAAGTCTTCAGAAGTTGCGCATGGTTATTCATCTCTGGTCTAGAAGCACAGAGCTCTGTAAATGCTCCCAGCCACCACGATGGTAATTTCTTCGTCCAGCATAGAAGTCCAGCCTGTCAAGCTCTCGGTGTCATCAACACAGTGTGCCTCTTCTCAGTTCTGGAGAACTATACAAATGATGTCTGTCTGATGTCTGTCCTGCTCCCATGCTAGTTCATTAATAGCTTCATTGTAATTTTGTCACCTCTCTTCTAACTTGCTAATTTTTTCAGGTCTGTTTCTATGAGACTATTGAGTTAACCTCAGAAGTTGGTGCTTGCCTACCTGTACCTTGTACCTCACTGGTGCTGTGGATGTTTAGTCTGTTTTAATTTCGAAGGTCCTCCAAATTCTCCTAAGTAGTCTAACTCCTGGTTTTCAAAGTCAGTGCTTCCTTGTAGGCTTCCTCCTGGTTTTCTCCCTCACCCTGACAACTCTGCCTGTACAGACAGGAGTAGATGCCCTCATGGGCTCATTAGCGGTTCCTGCAACTCCGTTCTTTATTCGGCAGTAAGTGAAGGCTGCGTGACTCTCTTTTTTCTGCTCCCCCTTGCCTTTCCCTTCTCATAGCCACGAAACAAACGTGTCCCTGGTGCCTCCGCTCCTCGAGAATCCTGGCGAGAACTGTGGCCGTTTTAGGCTGGACAGGCTCTTTTGTCTGGTTTTATGTGCCTTTAAACTTGCGGAGCCCCGTTGTTCTAGGGGTTGTATATCCTTGGTCCCCAGCGGCCCTCAGCACCTCACCGCCGGCGGCGCGGGGCGGCCGCGCTCGTTCTTCGGCTCCTGCGGGGCTGCTGCCGCCGCCTTGGCTACGGGTTCGGGAGCGAGCACCGCGCTCCGGCACCGCACCGCCGTCCCCGGGTACCCGAGCGCGGCGGGGCGAGAGGGGGGGCAGGACGGGGGGCTGGAGGCCGCCCAGCCCTGCCCCGGTGCCCGCCTCGGGCGCTCCGAGCGGCCGCTGCCGGCGGGAGCTCCGGAGCCGGCCGGGGCTGTCGGCAGCAGCCTCCGGTTCGGCACTCGCGGGGTTGGGCTCTGGCGAAGGGACTGCGGGGTATGCCACGAGGCCATGGGAAAGCGGCTCGGGAAACTTCCCTGCCAGGAGCAGCGAGCAAGTGTCCGGCAGCTGCCTGTTGTAGCTGGTGAAAGTTGTTTCGGTTCACACCGGCCCTGGGTGTTTGGGAGCTCCGGGAAGGTGAAGGACACGACGGCGAGCCGAGGGCTGCAGTGATGGCACGGCAGGACCACGGCTGCAGTCGCTTCTCTTTATTTCTGTTGAAGGAGGGTGGTGGTTTGCCAGTTCATTTTGGGCGTTCACACCTGTGAAATTTGATAATGAATCCCTTGCGTGTCTCTATGTAACAGACCATGTAACAAAGGACCATTTATTCGTAAATATGGAGGGCGATTGTAAGTATGAATCTGTTTTCTTGGAGGTTTTGACTGCTCCTGTCCTTGCAGGCTTTTTGGATGCCTTGCCAGAAGAGCTGCATCTGGAGTATTACAACTGCAGAGCAAAGAATATCATTGGGAATTATGTAAGAATTTTAAAAATGCTGACTGGTGTGGACACCATGAGATAGGACTTTTTACTGTTCTTCAGGTTGCCAACTCTTGACTCACTTAGCTCCCAACTCTAGGAGATTATCAGAACGCCAAAATATCCTTCAATTCCAGTATACCAAATAGAGTACTGAAACAGCTGCTGGTCTGTATGCTCTGCCATAATGTCCTCTTTCTGCCTGAGATCCCTCGCTCAAATTGTCCCATCTGATCTTACTCCTTATATAAAGTCAAAGAAGTTGACTTAAGGGTAATAGTAGGAGCATTTAGAGGAATTCTCTGTTAATAACAAAAATCTCAGCTTCTTGCCTTGAAGTTTCAGGAAAGCAAAAACCAGTTTTCTCGGCTTAATGAAGTTTCTTTTTTAATTCTGGATATCTTTTTTCAGTTTAGTTGTCAGATCACTCTTTTGTTTTTAAGTCTTCAGTAATAGACATGCTTTTCTTTTCCCCCTTTTTAGATAAATGCTGTTAGTTGTACAATGGAAAAATCATCTGCTTCAGTTGAAAGCTTTAAATGCATCTACAAAAGCAATTTGGTAAGTGTTGAGGAAAGGCAAAATGTTCCTCTTGTCACCTTTGAATGAATTAATTTACGCTGATGTTAATTTCAGTTACAAAAGGCTTCTGAGATATAGCTAATTGTGATGTGTCACCTGGGTATATACTCTCGAATCCTGAGATCAGTGAATTGCAGGCAGGTATTATAGACCCCTTTAGTTCACTGAGGAAAAGAGCCAATCAGGACAATTCCATGTTAGCAAGGCAGCAGCTGGATCCCAGCTTTGAAATATTTTCATTGCAAACCACATGAAAGGGGCCAGTGCTTAGCGCAGGAAACTGGATGTGTCAAGGAGAGAGAAGAGAGTGAGTCAAAGCAGTGCCCTAGATAGAGTCACAAAGCACAAGATGAAACAATAAGAGATGAGAACGAGAGCAGCAAGAGGTGATCAAGTCATTGACTGACAGGAAGAAATCTATAGATTTTAACAGATCTGCAGTTCTGGAGTGCTTTTCCAGAAAAGAGGGTGTAGAGACTGAAAGCATTTTGTTCATAACTGCAAGAGCATGTGATTGTGATGAAAGTGATCCGTGTCAGACTGGGCAGCTCTATTTTTGCCTCAAGTATTTACTGAAAGACAGTTCCCTGTTTTGGAATCTAGTGTTCACTTACATCTTTGGAAATTTTTCAGCTCTCTGCTTTCAAGAACACGGGCATCCAACCATCGTCTGCCTTTGGACTGGGAGGACAGCAAACATCAAGCTTCTGCCTCACCTTCAAGTGGTGCTTTGTTTGGACAGACTGCCAGTGGCTGTCCAGTGCCTCTGGACATCACGTCACCTCAGCGTCTGCTGCAGTCACCAGCACCACCGCCTCAGAGAAGTTATTTACACCCAAGAGCGAATTATCAGCTGAAGAGTGGCAACAGTTTGAAGCAAAGGAGTTCACCATTGGAAAGATTCCTCTTAAGCCACCCCCATTAGAACTTTTAAATGTTTACGACCTTTTAAGTTTATTCAGAAGTAACATGTTTTGAAATCAAATCAAAGGCTTCCATTTTGTTACTTTTTGTCTCCTCTCTCAAGTCTCTTCTGCAGGAATAAACCCCCAGTTATAAACATTGGAACACTGTATTTTTGTCATTTCTTGGTTATTTTGGATAGATGTTTTACATCTAAGAAATTAAGTGTTGACTCTCTGCCCTCACTGTTTGTCCTAAAGGTGTCTGTATCACTGGCTGGGTATATCTCAGGACTAAAATCCTCACTTCCCACATACTCTGTATTTTGATCTGTATCTTCTTTATCCATCTCTGCCCCAATGTAGGGGTGGAATGGAGGAAACTAACATTTACACACAAAACCTGATTATCCCATTTACCAAGTCATCAACTGTAAGATAATATTAAAATGCAATGACATGTTTTCCCCATCCTCCAATTTATCAAGTGGCCACCAATGATTACAATATCTTTTCATTTTATCTTTAGTCATTTGATCTCCCCTAAACTTATTCCACTTTTTCAGGATGCCTCCTAGAGAGCTACAGGGAAGAACTGCGGATTAGCGTGTTCCTGTTGTTAGATTTAGTAACATTCGAGTTACCCAAGTCCTCTACCCTAAGGCCCAGACCTTCAATAGTTACATGACTCCACTGGTAAACATACATCATTTGGAAATGGAACAATAATTTAGGGGTTACAGAGGTAGTGCTGGGCTGAAGGTTGGACTGGATGATCCCAAAGGTCTCTTCCAATCTTGATGATTCTGTGATTCCATAGCCATGGGCAATACATTCCTTCGTCTCCCTGTAAAGACACAGCACACAAATATTTTACCACGCGGGCTCTGTGGGAAAGGGGCTTATGTGAGTAAGGTGCGATTACAGCCGACGGGAGGGTATTTTACTGCGCCAAGGACTATGGGTTTGCACAAAGCTCCAGTCAAACCCTAATCTGGCTCTGTCAGCAGCCTGTCGGTGTGTTATCCCCCGGTCCCGACCGGTCCTGCCGCCGTTCCCGCTCCGCCCGCAAGCCCGCTCCCGGCGCCGCCCCCGGGGGCACGCGCCACTGCGGGCTACACGGCGGGCGCTCGTGCCGGGCCGCGCCTCCCGGCGCGCGCCTGGCGCGTCGAGCGCGCGGCGACGCCGGGGCGGGCGGCCATGGCGTGTGCCAGTCTTCCTGCGGGGCTACTTCGCTTCGGGGACCGCTCGGAACGAGCACCCCGCGGCGCCGCCCGCCCCGGCGGCTCGCAACCGCCCTCACAAGGTACTCGAGCGCAGCGGCCGGGCCGGCCGGGCCGGCTGAGGCGGGCCCCGGCCGGCAGGAGCTTCCGGAGCCCGGCCCGGGAGTCTCGGCAGCAGCCTCTGGTTTGGCACGCACGGGGTTGGGCTCTGGCGAAGAGTCTGGAGCACAAGTCCTGTGAGGAGAGACTGAGGGAGCTGGGGGTGTTTAGCCTGGAGAGAAGGACGCCCAGGAGAGACCTTATCACTCTCTACAACTACTTGAAAGGATGTTGTAGCCAGGTGGGAGTCAGTCTCTTCTTCAGGCGATCAGCAACAGGACAAGAGGGTACAGTCTTAAGCTGTGCCAGGGACTGTGTAGGTTGAGCATTAGGAAGAATTTCTTCACAGAAAGGGTGATTAGACATTGTAATGGGCTGCCCTGGGAGGTGGTGGAGTCACCGTCCTTGGAGGTTTTTAAGGAGAGACTGGCGGTGGCACTTAGTGCCATGGCCTAGTTGACATGGTGGTGTTGGTCATAGGTTGGCCTCGATGACCTCAGAGGTCTTTTCCACCCTACTTGATTCTGTGATTCTGTGACCGTGGGATGTGCCACAATGCCACGGGAAAGCAGCTCAGGAAACGTTCCTGCCAAGAGTAGTGAGCAAGTTCCCACTGGCCTTATGTTGTGGCCAGTGAAGGCTGTTTCCATTCTCATTGGCTCTGTGTGTCTGGGAGCTTTGGAAAGGCAAGTGATGCAGCGGGGAGTTGAGAGCTGCAGTGATGGCAGGAACACGGCTGCAGTTGCTTGTTCTTATTCCTGCTGAAGGAAGGTCGGAGTTTGTAACACACACACACAGATGTGTTTAAGGTCTCAGAACGGAACTCTGGACCTCTCTGTGCTGCAGCAGAGCAGGAGGCAGGAGCTCCTAATGTAAACACATGGTGAGTTAATTTTTTTTCTGCTAGGGTAGTTTCTTCATGAAATGACCTCAACAAAACTGAAACAGTCTCTTTCTGGGATGCCACGTATTATTGGCATGGTGATCTGGTTGAAGGTGTCTCTGCTCATTATGGTATGGGAGAGGTCAGACTAGATGATTTTTAAAGGTGCCTTCCAACCCAAATTATTCCGTGGTTCCACGTGAGGAGAAGGAGTTCCTATTTACCTCTGACTCCTGAACTACCATGCGTAACTCACTAGGTAAAGCTCACAAAATTATGAGGTTAATTCATTAGGAAAAAACTACATTTTCATTTTAAACTTCTTATTGCCACCATAAGACTGGTTACACTTACAGTTTTTGTTGGTGCTCTTTGTTTCATATCTTAATGATTAAAAATTTCTGTTGTTTGCTTTCTTTGTTTTTTTACTTGGAAGTTACTAGTGGAAGAGGAGGAGGATGGGGTTCCTCTAGCCAGAGATACAGCAGTGTTATCCAGCCATCTACCTTCAAGTCTGATACATGGGGTGGCAGCAGAGATCATGGAAGAGGATTCTTTGGCTCCTCTGACTTTGGATCATCAGGCGGCAGCAGCAGAAATGCAGACTTCTCACAGAACAGGTTCTCGGCATTAGCGAACAGTCAGAGTGTTGCTGATGGCTCTAAAGATGAAGAGGAGAGACTTCTGTAAGTTATACTTCTGTCTTACTGAAAGCATTTAGAATGAGCAGTTTAAAAGCTTACTAACTTCGTGGAGATAATGCAGAGAACAGTATCATGAGGAGGAAGCTGGGACATGTAGAAAGAACGATAGAGAACACGACTTCATTTGGTTCTCTGGAATGATGCTGGCATGGGAAGGAAGCAATCCGTGTCTGGGACCTGAGCTGGGCAGCTAAACAGCTGTGATACTAGTAAGATGGTATGGTATTTAAGTTGTGAGCAGGAGGATAAAGGAATAAAACAAATATTTCAGTACTTGAAAATAAAGGGTCAGAGCGCCTTTGGGAAAATGAATTATTTGACTTGGTTTTCCAGACAAGACAACAAATTTTTCTACCAACAGCAAAACTATTGAAACCTGGTTTCACACAGACATGTTACAGTCAGTTGAGAGTGACCAGCAGATTCAAGGCGATTACAGGGCATGTGCTAAGAAGCAACAAGCAATGTGATTTCCCAAAGAAAAGAGGTTTTGGAACCACTTTCCATTACTTTTTTTAAGATTTTAACTGTTTAGGGAAACACTTTGTTTTCATGGTAGCAGGTATTGATTTTGACTTTGGACAGAAACCAGGCAATTGTTTCTGGTGGTTTTGTTTTGACCATGTAAATTCACCTTCATCTGTGGTTTTGCTTTGTTTTGTAGAGAATGTGTAGTGAAAGACATGGAAATTTGGGAATCTTCTGGACAATGGATATTTTCATCTTACTCACCAATGAAAGAAAAACCGAATGTCTCAGGTAGGTAATGTTTTTAGTATTGTTGCATATTGCTGCTGTTTAGGATGTTTCTGTGACTTGCCTGCACTGTTGTACCTCTGTGGAACCATTTGCAAGGTGATGATTTGCCTTGTGATACAACAGAAAGGAATATGAGATTAATGCAAATTAATTTTGGATGTTCACACCTCTGAAGTTCTGTAATGGATCTTTTTTGTGTCTCTGACTGTGACTGACTTAGGACAGACAAAGTACCAAGGCCCATTTCTTCATAACTATGGAGGGTGATTGTAAATATGAATGTGTTTTCTTGGAGGTTTTTGAGGTACTCCTGTCCTTGCAGGCTTTTCGGATGTCTCACCAGAAGAACTGCGTCTGGAGTATTATGACAGCAGAGCAAAGAATATGATTGGGAATTATGTAAGTATTTAAACAATAATGGTGTGGACACTCTTTAGGACAGGACTTGTTTTCAAATGGCAACTCTTGACTCATTGAGCTCCCAACTCGAGGAGATTATCAGAATGCCAAAATATTTTTCAATTGCCGTGCACCAAATAGAATGCAAAAATACCTGCTGGACACTCCTTGACTTAATCTTGTCCCTGCTCTTGTGTATTATTTGTAGAAGTTACTGGAATGCTGTCTCAAAAATTTAATATCTCATATGCTATTAGTCAGTTTGATTAATATAGCTGGTTATCTAGTGCTTTAAATAGAAGACTGGGAAACTTTTATTTTCCCTTGTTCTTTTACATGCCTTTATTGCAGGGAACTAATGATGAAAATAGCAGATACTTCTTTTTTAGAAATGTATATATTCCTTTGGAAGTAACACATATGTTTTTATATAAAATATCTCTCAATGTATGTGTATTGTTCCTTCCTCATAGTCCTGTCAATATCAAGGAAGCTAGCAGAGTTTAATGTTGTGCCAAGAAGAAAATTAGGCTATTGGAAATTAGGCTGATGGCAAGTATAAACTAATTTAAGCTACATTTCACTCTTTCTTCTTGTTCTTGGTTCTGTGTTCCAGAAGAAATTGCTGTTGTCACCAGTTTGGCTTCATATGTTTAGATTTACCAGAATTGCATTTTCAGAGACAAGAGATACATAATTTTTTTAAATTTCAATTAAAATAATAAACCAAAATGATTAAACAATATGCTATGCCTGGCTATTAAAAAAATAAACTATGGTCTCACCAAAGTAGTAAATGCAAGTTCACAAAACTCTCAGTGTATAGATGATAACTGTATGATACAGTTTCCTCACAAAATGTTTAAGTACAACATGTCTTTTCCATGTTTCTATTCTTAAACTGGGTCAAAATCTGAATTTTCTGGTCTGTTGTATAAGAGCAGATACCAAGCAACATGATCTTCCAGCATGTGAGTAGACACAAAAGAATTATTGATGTCTGTGTTGTAAGACTCTCTTGAAAAATTAAGGAATTTGTCTACAAAAAGATTATTCATTCCATTCTTAGAGGCATTTGTGACATTAGGTGTTTTACTTTTTTAGGTTTTAAGGAAAATTCAATTAGACCAGGCATTGAATTAGATGTGTTGCTAAACTTAAATATAAATGTAGGAAATTCAAGTTTAAAATTCCCAAAAGGTTATTTGAAGACTTGGCAGTTTCTTGTTTAATACTAAATCACAGTTATCAAGACAGAGATGCTATTTACTGCTGCACTGTTCTGTGCAGTTATCTAATGGAACACGTTAATGTCATCAAAACTGAATATTTCAGGATGATACTATTAAAATGTTCTGAATTACAGTGTTTTGAAAGTGGGGGGGGGGTTCTGAAGATATGGAAAAATCTAAGGCAAATCTTAGGATTTGAGCTTACTGAGTGAGCGCATAAGTAGACAGGCCAGAAATCAAACAGAGATTGAAGAGTTTATTCTCATATATATAAAACTTACATATCTTATGTCATTTGTTTCCTTTTTGTGTCTAATTCAGAAAGAGATAGAACTTGAATTTAAAAAGCCCCAGAATTTTTCCTTTACTATTATCCCTATGTAAAGTACAAAGGTTGGTTTAAGGGCAGTAGTAAGAGAGTTTAAAGGAATTCTTTGCTAAAAACAAAGGTGTCAACTCCTCACCCTGAAGTTTCAAGAAAGCAAAAATCCTGTCGTCTTGGCTTAATGAAGTTTCTTTTTTAATTCTGGATATCTTTTTTCGGTTCAGTTGCCAGATCACTCTTCTTTTGTTTTTAAGTCTTCAGTAATGAAAACATGCTTTTCTTTCCCCCTTTTTAGATAGATGCTGTCCAACAGTTAGCAGCACAATGGAAAAATCGTCTGCTTCAGTTGAAAGCTTTAAATGCATCGACAAAAGCAGCTTTGGTAAGTGTTAGGGAAAGGCAAAATGTTTCTGTCCTGTGCTAATGTTGACTCTTCCAAGACAGAATCAGCAGACTGGACTGGAATTGCCCTCCAGGCTGTTTTAGGATAAATAGAGTGTTTGGGTAATGCCAGAATGAGGAATTGAGAGATAGCTGGGAGACATTTGAAGATAACATTTGAAGATAAAAAAAGTCATTGATTCTGGAAAGGTGACAAACACTTCTGAATCGAGATGTTTTTTCAGAAGCAATTGCTTGAGTTAAAGCTAATAAGCAATAATGGGGGAGACAGAGGAAGTGGCTTTATTTAAGTGGAGTTTCCATGAAGTGCATTAAAGGTTAAGTAGCATGATCCCAGCCCTTGGTCTGTTCGATGCTGAAAGTGGAGAAGCAGGATTTGGGCTTTAGCACAGGAAACTGGATGTGTCAAGGAGAGAGAAGAGAGTGAGTCAAAGCAGTGCCCTAGATAGAGTCACAAAGCACAAGATGAAACAATAAGAGATAGGAACGAGAGCAGCAAGAGGTGATCAAGTCATTGACTGACAGGAAGAAATCTATAGATTTTAACAGATCTGCATTTCCGGAGTGCTTTTCCAGAAAAGAGGGTGTAGAGACTGAAAGCATTTTGTTCATAACTGCAAGAGCATGTGATTGTGATGAAAGTGATCCATGTCAGACTGGGCAGCTCTATTTTTGCCTCAAGTATTTACTGAAAGACAGTTCCCTGTTTTGGAATGTAGTGTTCACTTATGTCTTTGGAATTTTTTCAGCTCTCTGCTTTCAAGAACACGGGCATCCAACCATCGTCTGCCTTTGGACTGGGAGGACAGCAAACATCAAGCTTTGGGCTCTCAAGTAAGTTCCTACCCTAAGAACCAGCAGATACAAACATTTTGTGGAGTTTCTCTGCTGCTGCATTTTTTGAAATGCAGCAGTGGTTTAATATGACTGGGGTACCCATTGTAATATTTTTTATCAATTCTGTACTTGCAGGCTTTCCTGTGAGCAGCAGCAGTACCAGTGCCAGCAGTTTCTCTTTTAAAGCCAGTTCCAGCCTTATCAATTCCTCATCATCTGGAACCAGCCCTGCTGCTGGGGTCTCTTCTGCTGCTGGTAGTGCTCCTGCGTTTGGGGTGACGTCCTCTCACAGCGCACCCCAGCCTGCTGGGTTTGGCAGCCCAGCAGCTCCATCTGCAGCCTCCTTCTCCTTTAAAACAGCTGCAACAGCTGGTGGCTTTGGGACTTCTGGGTTTTCAGGCTTTGGCAGTGCTGCTGCTGTGAACTCTTCCAGCACCACCACTCCGCTCCCAGCCTTCGGAGCCTTTAATGCAGCCACAGCCACTTCTGCCTCACCTTCAAGTGGTGCTTTGTTTGGACAGACGGCCAGTGCCTCTGGACATCACGTCACCTCAGCGTCTGCTGCAGTCACCAGCACCACCGCCTCAGAGAAGTTATTTACACCCAAGAGCGAATTATCAGCTGAAGAGTGGCAACAGTTTGAAGCAAAGGAGTTCACCATTGGAAAGATTCCTCTTAAGCCACCCCCATTAGAACTTTTAAATGTTTATGACCTTTTAAGTTTATTCAGAAGTAACATGTTTTGAAATCAAATCAAAGGCTTCCATTTTGTTACTTTTTGTCTCCTCTCTCAAGTCTCTTCTGCAGGAATAAACCCCCAGTTATAAACATTGGAACACTGTATTTTTGTCATTTCTTGGTTATTTTGGATAGATGTTTTACATCTAAGAAATTAACTGTTGAAACTAAAATGAAATGTTCCCTTCTGTATGCTGTCCTGTGAAATTCTGGTGAAACACTGTATAAAAGGGCTGTGTCAAAAGAAAGAATGTTTCAGTCATGTATTCACAGCCTACTGCTAGAAGGAAACAGATGCACTGCAAGATTGGTTGTTGTTGGAAAGCCTTGTCTTTTGCCTCTTCAAAGGGTCCATGAAGCCTTGGACAGTTGTGTTTGGAGAGAGACGGAGGGCTCCTGTGTGGTCTGTACCATGCCAGATGCTTCTGTCTCCCAGGAGTCATTTCCCTGTGCCAGTTGATGCAATTCAGCTGTTTTGAGTAGTTATGCCTGAGGTCACCATGCCTGTATGAATGTCACACAGCTGGGGGAGGACAGTCCTGAAAGCATTCATCCTGAAGAAAGAGCTTGTGGGTTGCTATTTTGACACCTCTGAGATGAAACTTTGCAAGCAGTTGCAAACCTGCCTTTCTGTGAACCTACGGAATTTTGTTGTCAGGTTCTCAAAACTTGATGGGTGCGCATATTAGCAGTACCTTTTCTGAAGTCATGATATTAAGGTATCCACTTTGTTACTAAGATACTCTAAAAGCAGGAGTCGGGAATCTTCCAGAGGATGTCCTAGACTCAGGGATAGTAAGATCTGGTGTTTTCACAAATGGGCTTTTGAGCATCTGAAAAGATGGCTGAGAGCAGTGTGATATGACTTACCTGGCAAGAGACAAGCTATATATTTGGCTGCAGAAGCAGAGATAAGGATAGGATGGAAAAGAAGGCAATAGTATTGCTCTAGGGGGCTCACCAAACTGCAGAAAATAGGCAACAATTTGTTAGACTGAAGAAATCTGCCCCAATATTTGCACTGCGGTTTTTTTTTCCTGTTCATCCTGTTCTGCTTTTGGTATACTTGATTTCAAAGTAGGTTGCAAGTACAAAGGAGGCTAAATAATATCTTCCTTTTAGCTACAATCCTTTCATTTTTCTTGACTTCTCCTTTTTGCAACTGTTTTGCTGTTTGGTATATGGCTGCTCTCCAGAAAGTCATAATATTGTGGTCTGGCATATAAAAACACATATAGGGTGGCATCAAACTCACAGGTGTCACTTACTGCACCTTGATTTAGAACAGGAAATATGAGGTGACTATCCAAGCAAAGATATGTAACATGTCCTGATTAGCAGAAAATCTTGGTCCGTGAAATAGGCTAGAACACTTAAGCTCCACATGATATTTTCAAGTACTTCCCTTGCTTTGATTTATGAGGATTTATGAGTCACTGACATTCCTGGAGTGTGGTACAAACAACTAATTTGAAGAATGATTTGAAGTTTTTGTTTTCAAGAGATCATGGATTAATCCCCAGACAGTAGCACTTGAGACTGGCTGTATACAGGAGAAAAACCCTCCACTGCCCCAGCTGAGGAAGCAACCCAGCATCTAACAAATGCTCTGCCCTTTTTCCTCCCAGTGATACTAGCAGCACTATCATCTCAAAATGTGATTTAGCAGCTGAGAAGGAAAATAAAAAAAGTGAACCTCAGAGAGCATTACAATTATGTCTTAAGAGTTAAGCATCACTGTAGCCATGTGCTCTGTAGTTTCACAATGTGCAGTGGCAAGTGGCATGGTAGCTTTACACTGAATGAAGGAAGATGGACTGCAAATAACCAACTGACTAGATTTAAGCCTCAGAGGATAAGCTAAGGGCATCAGCAACAATAAATTAACCAGAAGGCTGAAGAAAGAAGAGCTTTCACAAATGTGCCTGGGAGGGAAAGGAATATGAAAACCCTATTAATACAGGAGCACTGAAGGGAGATTGATAACTCTGAAATGGTGGAAATCTGTTTAAAAAATATTTGAAATGAGGGACAGTTGAAAATCAATGAGGATGTAATGTGGTAACTGATAAAAGCAAGTAAGAAAATATTTGTGAAATGTGAGCTTACTGCAGCACAGAGGAAGTCCAGGCAATTTGCTGTACTAGTCAGTAAGGGAATCAGCTAATGGAGTTACTACAGTTCTGGTAAGTGATATCACTTACTCAGGTAAGTGATAGAACACAAGGGATGTGATAGTAGACTGAGGAAATAAGATATATTAGTGAGCAGAAGTACTTTGTTGACAGTTACAAATAATTTGAGGAGATTATAAAGACATCATCTGGCTTTCAGTAAGGCATTTGATACAGACATTTAGGAGGTGTCAGATGTTTATATGACAGTGATTAGGGTTAGCAGTTAATCAGAAACATCTACAAGTGAGTGAACACTTTTTGTTTCTAGTCCACCTCCCGTGTCCTAATGCAGAGAATAGAGAGAAACTGGGCAATAGTGGAGGAAGAAAGCCACAGGTTGTACTTAGACAATTTAAGTAGATGTCTAATTATATTTGACCTAATAGAAGCCAGCAGCTGAAGGAAGAATCTGGACTACAAGTATTTAGAGAGACAGAGCAAACTGTAGAGTTGAAAGGTGCTGAGAGTAAGTGATATATGAAGTCCTGGTGGTTGGGATCAGTAAAAAGTATTTTGAGCTGTAGGAATATCCGACAGCTGCAGTAATGCGCTTAGTTCTGAGCACGCAATTGCCAGAGACCTGCGAGATGACTAGAAGGAGATTCAGAAAGCAAGCAAAGCCATTGGAAATGAGAATTTAGGAGGGAACTTAAGAGCTGAATAAGCTCTGCTTGGTGAAAGCAGAGACTGTGATATGGAACAACTGTTTTATTGAAAGGGTACCCTCTCAGGAAGGAGGAAACAGGACTTTTTGAGGCATTGTAGTAACCAGAATATTGCGCTACTTCACAGAAGTCTTAGACAGGAAGTTTTCCACCTGGGAAAGTCCTTTTCTACCTCTGTTAAGATCTAGCCAAGCCAAAAATAAAACACTAGAATCAAATCCCTACCTGTCAGGATTAACAGTTCATGTTCTCAGAGATGCAGCAGTCAGAAGAAGTAGATCTGATCCCTTCCCTTTGAACCGAAATACACCAACACTTTTGCAGAGAGTGACAGAGAGCAACGCTGAGCATTTGGGGCAGGGAGCTGTGTGTGCCTGTCATCTCTCCTGGAAATGATTTAGGGGGCTGGCCATAAAGCAGGACCCTCTTTCCACTGAATTTAAAGAGGCAGATTAGCTCTCTAATACTGGGAGTGAATATGCCTCCTGGTCTTGAAACTCACACTTGCCTTGAAACTCTCACTTGCAATTGCCTGGCTTTCCTGTTAAGAATAGCTAAGTAAAAAAAAAAACCAACCAGAGAGTTGTTCATAGCAGCTCCGCCTTAGGCAATATGCTTGTTTAATCTGCAATGCTGTTGCAAATTTTCGATTTTGTCTGCAGAATAAAGCTAGGCACCTTCTTACAAGACAGTGGGCTCCTTGGTGGGACTTACCCTCCTGCAAAAGAACAAAAACAGGTCTTAAAATGGAGGGAAGAAGAGCAAGAACAACAAGACAACTGTCAGCAGGCTGATCAGCATTTTTGTTCGGGTACGCAGATTGCTTTGTCTTTCCTTCACAGCCAGTAGGGTTTGTTCTTACCATGTCACATGAGAGACATAAGAAACAAGTGTTATGCCTTTCCTTTTCTAGTAAGCAGATCTGTTATATTGCTAGTTGCATATTAGTCATCAGAGAAGCGATCTGGTATTTCAAAATACCTGTTGTACCTGAATTTCTGTGTTGCTATGGCAGTGGGTTTTTAGCAAACTAAATGCTGTTTAGTCAACATCAAGTAAGGCTTCTGCAAGTCTTCCACAGAGCCTTATCTTTGCAAATCACATGAAATATGCCCGTTGCATATGCCTTACAAGTAATTAGATTAGGTCTAATTATACAAAATAAATCCACCCTTCTGTGTGAATGAAATGAGCAACATTTGCAGGTGTGCATGTAAAACCACGTCACGTCACTTTTAAACGAAGACTAATGAGGTACAGTTTTGATCTCTGATAGCTTTGCTTTTCTGTCTACCCAGTTCTGTTGTTGTTTTTCTCAGTCTCACAAGCATCTGTGCAGCACTGGCTTGTAATGCACTCTGGTTTTAAAGCACTCTTTACAGGCACATGAGATTTTGTTGTTGTAGTTTACCTCTGCAAGTATGGGCTTCTCTTGAAGTATCTGTAATGTTGAAATAGAAGTAAAATAAGATAAGATAAATAAGATAAGAAGTAAGATAAGATAAAATAAGATAAAACCCATGGTTTGTAACCATGGGTTGCATTACAAAAAATAAAAAATAAATTAAAAAAAGAAAAGCCTGGTATCACTTACTGTTTCTGTATGATAAATGGACAATAGATGAGGTGGAGAAGAACCCTCTGTATTCAGTATACATAAACTCTTTGGGCAGAAGAGAGCCTTCAGCATTCTTCCACAGCCTGTGTGTTTGCTCAGAAGCTCCCACAGGGCTGGGGACCAACAGGTCCTTGCAAAGTGAAGCACTAACTCGAACTTCACCCTAGGAGCTTGGCCGAGCATAAAAGAGAGACCCAGCCTGCAGGCAGATCTGCCTGCCTTGAGATAAGGCTGCCTTAAATTTTACTGCAGATCCTCCTGCCTGGAATCTGCTTCAGACATCTCTGTCTCTATCTAACCTACCTTTCTGGAGACTGATGTCTTTGCTCCCTGCCCTGTGTGCCTCCCACTCCCCTCTTTTGCATACAGGGAGTCATGACTCCTTGGCCTCCCCATGCAGGTTTTGCAGATGAAAATGGCCACCAGAAACCCCTCCTCTCCAGAATTCTGTGCCTCTACCTGAAGCCTACATGAGAATTCACATGATGCCACAATATTCATGATTTGACACCTCCAAGCCAGCCCACAAGCAGAGCTGATACATCTCAGGTGCTGATGAAGCTCCAGCATGACCTGTCTTTCCAGCTGATGCTGTTTCAAGGTTCTGTCTCATCAGTGCCCTTTACTCACATGTTCAAACTCCATATCACACGATATTTCTAGCAAAATGAATCCAAGTTAACTTTTAATCATCCTCTATAACCACTGGTCAG